TTTTTTTTTTTTTTACACAACCTGTTACGGTCTTCGTTTGCCTAGGTCAGTTACTATATATTATTAAATTTTAATTTTAATATTAAATAAATAAACTAGCCATTCCGTCAGTCTTTTATTATTTTTATATCATCACATAAATTATATTCTATAAATAAAATTAAAAAGAAGGAAATTCTTAATACTCATTCATTCATATTACCAAAAAGCTTACAAGACAAACAGAGAAGAATTACACTCAGAGACGAGAAAACAAGAAAAGAGAAACTTACCACTTAAAGACAATTGACATGACTCAAAGAACTTAAAGACAGATTGATATGACTCAGAGAAGCGATAACAACCAGATAGATTATTGACATGACGACATGAAAAAGGGAAATCCTAATCATCAAACGCATTACGATAACACTCTGGCTCGTGCTTGGTCAGTTTCTTGTGACTGCCGAAATAATTCCCGCATTTTTTGTGGTAGTGATCTTTGGCTTTGAGGTTCCTATGGCCATCACCAGCATGATCGTAGTGGGTATTCAGCTTCGTCGTGTCAGGGTATGACTTGTCGCATGCATGCTTTGTGCCAACACGGTAAAGACAAATGTACGGGGGCGTGTTTGACGAGCTGGAATAACCTGAAAAAGACCAAAATTACCAAATGAAAATTTTAACGAGAGAACAAAAATTATAATCTTAAAAAGGAAGTATTAAATACCTACCTGCGATACCACCAGTAGTTGCTCCCAACATGAGAGGGATTTTTCCTTTCACAGAGGTGAGCATTGCAGCTTTTCCAGAGTTGAGCATTGCAGGGAATTTTCCTTTTCCAGAGTTGAGCATTGCAGGGAATTTTCCTTTTCCAGAGGTGAGCATTGCAGGGATTCTGTTTGCTAGAAACATGTTTTTCAGCGTGTGTGTTTTTCAGTGAGTGATTTTCCGTTGCGATTATGAGCTGACTGTAAACGGTATTTATTGAGATGTAAAAACTTGGTCACGACTCAAATTAACTTCGTGACTACGCAAATTAACTCGGTCACCACGCATGTTTCGTCTCAAATTAAAATGCACGAAATGGGAGAAGTGAGACCTGTTGCGAGAATGGGCATAAATGGGCTTCGATAAATGGATTGAATAGTATGATATGATAGTGTCTAATAGTACTGGGCCGTGTCAGAGAGTATAACTGGGCTTGGATCACCTAGTATAAATGGTAATGGGCCAACTAATTGGGCTAATAAAAAATTAAATAATTAAAAAAATA